TCCCCTTCCCCACCCCACCTGCTCTCTCTCCTCACCTCCTTCCCCGCACTTACAACTTACCACCTTCTGTCATACTGACGAAATGTAGCGACACAACATGGGTTTGCGACTTTTCACGTGAAGCGAGATCCACTCCACACCTCTGACATAGGGTGGGTAGGATTATTCTTAACGAAGTAGAGCCCCCCCGTAGGGGGGGCGGAACATACTGTCTCCATGCTTGTACTTCCATGACGTACGACAGATGGAGATGGGAGGAGAGATATAAGATTTAGTGTCCATCATTTTTATCGAAAACTGTCACTCGTATAGTAAAAATGAATAGGATATAAAATGTATATTTTAAAGAGATCTACAACTTTTGTTTAAAACATTTTTCAAAATTTTTAATATTTGTGTCTGAAAATTACATATAATTGGTTGACATTGTTTTTTTAATAACTTTTTAATAAACAACGAGCGCCGGCTAAATCCTTCTGAGGGTTACTCAGGAGGGTGACCTCTATAATATATGTCAAGCCCAAGCTTATTGGAGGTGGGTGTGCTAATCTAAATAATTACCCACATAATTGTTAAAAAAATTTCTTTTATTACTTGTTGCAAAATTGTGTTTTCTTTACACCGGTTGATTTGTATCATTATTCTGTTCAAAAAAGTATTAAGGTAAGATGATAAAAAATGAATATTTTACAAGATATTTTGTAATTTATGTCAAAATGTTGAAACTTTCAAACCTTAATAACTCAAAAAGTTCTTAATAAAAAAATACTTTATTACAGCGTTTTGGAAAGCTCTCGAGGTCAGCTACAAGAATATGTAATAAAAAATAGGAGATGCCATTTTAAAAAATTGGTGTGACCTTTATGTGACCTTCAAATAATTCTTCAAGGTCAAACCAATGGTACCATCTTATGTCCCCATCGAAACCATACAACTTTCGTCTGAAACATTTTTGTTTGTTGGGCTCAGTTTTCGAGATAATTTACTGTCCAAGTTAAAATGGAACACCCTGTATATTTAGCTCACAGATACACAGTTTTCGTGGTAGCAACGTGAAGTCGTTCTACGCTCGCTCGCTCTCACACACCAACTCTCTCGGTCTAGAGGGATTTCTCCTAGATGCTCTCTCACACGACTCCTGAGGGTGCAAACTCATAGAGGGGAACGGTGTACACAGAAAATCGCGGAACGACAGCTTCGACCAATCACGAAAACATCGGAACACTCGTGATTGGTCAAGGCTTCCGTTCTGCGATTTTCTGCGTATACCATTCCGCTCTATGGCCGGTATTCATAGTCTGTTCTTATATTTAAGATCGTCTTAAGTATACTCTTAATGTGTTTTTAACCAATCACAGAGCCGTATTAGCCTCTTAAGACAACACTTAAGATGATTTTGAATTAAGAATCGACTATGTGAATACCGGCCTATGTGTTTGCACCCTGACGGTCACCCACTCCAATGTCCGGCGCATTGGCAGCGCTCCACGATACCGCGCGCGAAACACAAACCAGACTCTCGCGGAATATTAAAATTACTTAAACTCTCTTTCACTTCCTACAATACGAATGTTCATATGTACACGGAAAAAAAATGATGTTTCAATAAGATCAGTGTAATCGAAACTACATATTCGTGATATCACCTTAAAAAAACCTTTTTTAATAAAAAAGATTTAAGAAGACGCCAAATATAAGCGTCATCCAATCAAAAATTACATAATTTAATTATTTGGATATCTTTTATTTTAAAACAATTCTTTATTTTCTTCCCCCCCCCCCCCTCGAAAGTATCTTCTCTACAAAAGTAATGATATCATCAAATCGCGTCAACTTAACTGAATATTTATACAAACTAGGTACTTTATTATTGTTTATATTAAAATGTTATAGCCAAACAATCGAGCATAAAATTTTATCGGAAGAAATAAAGAAAATAATATTAATGAGACAATTTTTTAATACTCATTCCATAAAAATGTGATGCAAATAAATTTAATACAAATAAATATAAACTTGAAGAGATGGATCGCCAGTAAATAAAGAACAAATAATAAGGATAACGTCGACAATTAACTGGCACAATATATTTCGTTTAAAACATACAACGTTTCGACCAGTAATACTGGTCCTTATCAAGTATTAAAAATTTTTAACAACCCATTAGATGTGACAGCAAAAAATCTAAAACATGATTAATATGGAAATAAATAAGTCAAATGTTACAACTCAAACGCATCTTAAAACCGCATCTTAAAAACTTACGGGTGACATTGGTAGTAATACAGGGTGGGGCAAGAACTTTGATCACCTGGAATATCTCCGCTATTTTTTGAGATATCAAAATATTTTAATTACAAAAGTTGTACGGTATGAAGAGCGCTATAATATGCCAACGACAATTTTTTTTGGGGTGGAGGCGCTTCGAAGAATTCAAGGTCATCTCCATTTTTTTAAATGGCATGCTATACTTTTTTATCCTTGATGCAATAGTGGACGTTGAGACAATTCCTATGACCTATATTACAAGGTCATTTGGCATTAATAAAGTAGTAAAAAACAACTATTCTTACATTATGGAAGATGCTCAAAGTGATGTCCGTTTGCATGGATGCAACGTTGCAACCGTTGAATTCCTGAAGCACGTACACTTCTTAACACTTCCGGATTGATGGTTGCACATGCTGTA